ACACATTTTTGCTTCAGGAAAAAACAAACTGAAGGTGGGGATGACGGGATGAGCCTACCTGGTGATGGTGGAGAAGAGAGCTTTCGATTGAGCTTTGTTCTTCCTTCTTCAAAGCTTTCTCAGAGCTCTTTGTTCATTGATACAGATGATACATATGATGTAAAGAGTGCCTTACCTGGTAAGTGCAGTGGGTTGGTAAGAGTAGATTGGTAAACAAATCTAAACCATTGAATTTTAGTCATTGATAAATCTAGACCATTGAAACTCTTTTCAATCTTAGCCATTGTTTTTAAATTGGACAAATCTAAACCATTAAAGATAGTTTGTGAGAGAGATATTTTTAAAAATAAATCTGAGCCATTGCTTTTTAAATTAGATAGATCTGAACCATTAATTTCAAAGACATTTTCAAATCAACCCTTCCATTGTTATATATATATATATATATATAAAATAAATAGAAAAAAATAGCATCTCCCAAATAAGTGCACTTATTTGGGTCACATCACTTCTCTATTTTTCTTTACATCTTTTCATAAAAAGTTAACAAATACACTTGGATCATCTCAAACAACTCAATTTAACGCCATGTTTGGGATGTGTTAGAATAGCACATATTTTTATCTTTTTTGGGGCTACATCAACTTTTTTCACATCGTTATCGTCTCTTTATCACATTTCACATCTTTTCATACCAAAAAAAAAAAAACCTATCAAATTGTTAAAACATCCCCAATAAACACTTAATCAAGATTTAGATGTCAAGTCAATGGATAATGGCTAATCATAATAATATATATTTACGAATAATTTTTTAATATTTTAATTAAAAATATGAAAAAAAATAATAATGTGAATGAGAATAAATTTTTAACTTAATTATTAGCCTATTTTCCTCAAGTATAATAGATGAAAAAAATAGTATTTAGTCATTCAACTCAATATAGGTATACATAAAATATCTAAATTACTTTTCTTTTTTTTTTTAATGAGTTTGATTACTAAAACAACCTAACAAACTTTTGTGATTAGTTTTACTTAACAAAAATAAACAAATAATTTATATTAAAAATAAATCAAAAATTAAAAAATTTAGAATTTATTTTATTATAAGAGTTTAAAAAATAATAATAATGTTCTTTAACGATTAGATTAAGAAAAACTAAAGTAAAATCCTAAATTCAGGATCAAAATTGACGTAATTCAAATTTAGAAGAATATATTGACAAAAGGAGCAAGCTATCTAAGTGGTGCAAGCTATATAGACCATTGCTGTAATTTGTCCATTTTTTTTTTTAATTTTAACAATTTCATACAATAATAATGTGACATTAACTTTCTTAGAAATTCAAGTCATATTGATAGTCTTCATTTTAAAAAAAAAAAAAAAAACACCTGAGATCAATCATCACGTTATTCTAAGTAAATTTTTGTATATAATTTGTTGGATAACACTATTTGTAATTAAAAAAAAAAATAGATATTCTTACAATATCATTGCCTACATAATGTTTCTAATAAAAAAGAAATTTAAATACACATTAAAAGAGTAAGCAAACTTATTTTTTGGACTTTACAACAACGACCTCGCTTTACCAATTATCATCAATGATGCCTATGATCCCTCTGCTTTGCCCCTATTTCGAACAGTAAGCAAACTTCAATTTGTAATTCTTTATTTACAGTGATTTTTCTTTTCATCTATTTTTAGTGATTTTTTCTTAATATTTGATTATTTTTCTTTTCATCTATTTTTACTGATTTTTTTCTTAATATTTGAGTCAATCCTTGTGGGAGTTCTAATATCTCAATCTTAATTTTCTAAATTCCTGATTTAAAAAAAAAAAAAAAAACTCCAGCTCACCATTCAATTTCAGCCTTTTTGAATTTTGAAAACCATAAACCGTATCGTTGCAACATTCAATCTCAGCTTTTTTGACTTCTCCTTATACTGCCGCACATCATATTTTTTTACAATCCTTACTTATTTTTTCTTCTAGAAGGACAAACGAAAATAAAGAGAAAGTTTTAGAGAGAGAGTTTCAGAGAATTTGTGAAAAAAAATTGATACATCTATAGTCACAATTTTCACTCCAACACAATCTTCAAAGCCTATAAGTAATATTTTCATTTATTTTTCAATGATTTTTATTATTATTATTATGAGCAAAAAATGTGATTGTGATTTTTTACACTCCGTTTTGATCACATGGTGGTTGTATTTTAAGACTGAATGGGTTTTTAAACTCACTGTGTTCTTCGAAAAAAAATGATTTTGTTTTTTAAATATCAATTAAAAAATTTTGTAATTAATTTGTGATTGGATTTTAACTCACTGTATTTGTGATTGCGTTTTTTAACTATCAACTGATTTCATTGCTTTTCTTTTTATTATGAGCAAAATGTAATTGTGTCTTTCTACACGTTTTGATCATACAATGATTTTAACTATCAACTGATTTCAGGCATCGTTTGGGAACCCTCTTTTTTAGTCAAAAAGTTAGTAAATTAGTCAAAAAGCCAACAACTCATACAAAAAAAGTCAAAGATTCTATTTTCTCTCTACTTTTTGCACATTTTTTCGTAAAAAGCCAAAAAGTCATCCCAAACATACTAGTTTTTTTTAGCTCATATTTTAACAAAATAGCCAAAAAGTTACTAAATTAGCCTGTTCCTAAACGAGGCCTGACTGTAATTTTTTTATATTCCATTTTGATCACATAGTGAGAAAAAAACTTGTTTCGATTGTGACAATCCCTCTGTTTTTTGAAAAAATAATTAGATTATATTCATTAGGTTCACATAAAGTACTCGTTGTTGATGATGATTAAATTGTATTTTATCTACCAAAAAACAAAATTATAATTTTGTTTTTAACTCACTGTGCTTTTTGAAAAAAAAAAAGATTGTATTTTTTAATTATCAATTGACTTAATTTGTGATTGAGTTCTTAATTTACTCTGTTTTTTGAAGGAAAAAAATGATTGGATGATCGTATTTTTTAACCACCAATTGACTTCGTTTTTTTTTAAAAAAAAATTTATTATAATAAAAAATGTGATCGTGATTTTTTACACTCCGTTTTAATCACATGGTGATTTTATTTTTTAACTGATTATGTTTTTTTATACTCCATTTTGATCACATGATGAGTAAAAAAAATTTATTTATGTTGTGACAATCTCTGTGCTTTTTGAAAAAAAAAAAAAAAGATTGTACTCATTGTATTTTTAAACTATAAATTGACTTCATTGGTTTTCTTTTTATTATAAGCAAAAACGCACATATTTTTTCCACATGGAGGACAAACCAAGGCAAAGACAAACCAAGATAAAGGTAAAGTTTTCAAAAATGCTTCCGACCTCTAAAACTTCGTCACTAAATTGGCACTAATGACGTGGCTGCCAACATGGAAACCTGAAGCAAACTCGCCCCTTTCTCTCTCTTTCTTTTTCATTTCAAATTTCAGATTCATTTTCAAAAAAAAAACTTGAAGACTCTCCCTCTCTCATTTCTTCATTCTCTTCTCTGTTTCGCCCCTCTCTCTCTTTCTTATTCATTTCAAATTTCAGATTCATTTTCACAAAAAAACTTGAAGACTCTCCCTCTCTCATTTCTTCATTCTCTTCTATGTTGTGCCTTTCTGTCGACAAGCTCCCCGACGAGCACGGCTCTCCATCAGCGGCGAGACGACGAGCGTAGCTCTACAACCCCGGTGACGATCGAGGTTGAACGCAGCTTCTACAACCCGGCAACCCAACGAGTAAAGCTTCTCACTACGACCGACGACGACTCTCCATCTTCACAGATCTGTCTGCAGAGGTCAGTTCTCTCTCTCTCTCTCTCACTCTATATATATATATGTATATATCTATATTTATATGCCCTAATTTGTTGAGTTTTTTGACTTTGATTTCATGCCCTGATTTATATCTATGTATATATGTATATCTATATGCCCTGATTTGTGACTTCGACTTTGAGTTCATCTGTTTAGGACAATTTTGATTTTGATTTTGATTTTGATTTGCCCCAATTTTACATTACATTGGATTTGCCTAAAAAATCTAAAATATATGTTTGGTGGAGAATATATAAAAATGGTTAATCATCCTTCAAAGCCACTGCCAAATCTTTCTTTCATAATGTTTTTTGTGGACAGAGTTATTTTGTGGACACTGAGTGATAGTAATGAAGTTTGCATCCTATGTCCTGTGTCCACTGTAGTATAATTTGTTACAAAACCAATTTGACAAAGGTGCATATGACAAGTTGACAACATGCATAATTAATTATAGAAATAAATTTTGTGTGGTCCATAGAAATAAATTTTCTGTGCAACTTATTGAGAGAATAGTGACCCTAAGGTTTGTCAAATCCATCAACTTTAATTGAAAAAAAATTCACAACACATTTCAATTGGAGTCAGTTTGTTTGGAGGAAAAAGAACACTCTAAAGTTTGTTTCTAATGGGTTACCTCATTTTTTGGATTGATGGGTTAGAGTCATTATGTGTTGTATTGAAATCTTTGGGCACTTGAGTTTATTGGAGAGACTGTAGTTCTCATGATTCTATGAATGAGAAACTAAATATACTTTTGAATTTGTTGATATGCACATAATAAGCATCTTTCATGCAAGTTCTTTTGTGTTTTTTACATTAATTTTCTAATTTTGAAGGAGAGTTAACAATTTAATATAAGTTGAAAAAAAAAATTCAGATCAATGATAAGTTTATTTTCTGATAATAAAGATGAAACTCTCACCTTAAATGAATTGGAAACATCTAACCACAAGGTGAAAATATATTAGAGGATGACCTTGGTTTCATCCTTTTCATTCCTTGTTTATAAGTTGTATTCTTCCTTGTTTATTAAGGTTTTCTTGGATGTTTATTATAGGTCATTGTGTAACAGAATTATTCAGACCATCATATGAAATTGAGTTGAGTTTTGATACTGAGATCAAAGAATTTTATGGTTTCTTTCATTTTCTTTTGATGTGACCTTTATTTGCTTGTACTTTTATTTTCTTTTGTTGGCTGTTTGACATCACTTTCTTTTTCCTTGGTGGTACGTTCTAGTGTGGGGATTCTCCATCAGCTGCTGGCATTAATGTATCTCATTTTTAGTTCAAAGAAGTAATTCTAGAAAAAGATAGAGGCTATGGATTTTGGGTAATGAATGTGTTCTCCTTTTGTTTAATGTCCAAAAAAGAAGAATCTGGTTTTCTAAAGCCACACCTGCTGGTGGCTATGCAGCATTCGAATCTATGTTTTGTTTTGTTTTTTTTTTTTTTTTGGCAATGAAGAATTAGAAAAGGAAGACGACGACAAGGTTATTAACATCTTTTTATATTTATGTAAATAGAGTTAAGGTAGCACTTTAGTCCAAAACCGTGTGAGGGCAAATTGGCTATTCTTAAATGTGGTGGAGCTATAAGTGCTCCGGGCCCATAGGGTAAAATGGATTTTGTCATTATTATTATTTTTTGTTGCTAAATTTTCAAGCGTTTAATGTACCATGATGAAGTTCTTTGTAAACTTTTGTGTTATTAGGAAGGTTGATCTATTTCTTTGATTAGCTATATTTTATTCTAATTAGTTAAATGGATATATTCTTTGTCAACAGGCATGTATCACGACTGAAGAGATTGGCTAATTGATATGCTTGTGCTTTCAAACAGTTGCATAATGGCATTATTTTTGTGGAACTTTTTACTTCTGGTTGTAAGATTATTTGATGATATCTAAATTTCAGGTGATGCTTGTCTAGTTGCCCTGATAAAGTAACAACTACGTCTGTGTGAAATAAACATCCTTGCCTTATTAGAATTTGGTGAAATAACTACCTGTAGAACAATGAATATTAGAATGATAACATCTAAATGATACTAGAATTTGAATCAGATGTCCCATGGCAAATAACCAATCTTGGCAGCCAAGTTTTATATTCTCATTATATGTAACCAGTACTTTAAGTTATTATATGTAACCAATCTTGGTAATTCAAACTTCATTAGTCAGACTGCTAGTTATCATGATGGTATAATATCAGATGTTTAATATTCTGCTATTTGAACTGAGTTATTTTGCTTTTGTTGATGTTGGTATAGTATTAGAAACCATTTGTTGTTCATGTTGTGATGGTATAATACCAAAGTGTTGCTCTTGTTTGCTTCCATTTAATTCAAACCTTTCCTACTTTTTAAACAGTTCTCAGACTAATACACTAACTGATTGAGATTTGGCTTCATATTTTTGTAGATGTCAACTTCAAGTGCTAGCGGCAGTACCTCAGATCATTTGAAGAACAAGTGCAAATGGACAGCATACCAACCGTCACCAAACAACTTCAAAGTATGGGTGAACACCTGCAATTTCAAAGCGAACAACTTCTAATTAAAAGCACGCAGATGCAAAAATTGCAGACAGACTTAAATCG